GTATCAGCTGAGATAAGCGCCACCTGTTCTCGGTCTATATTACAAACACACATAGCAGCAATTTTTAACTATTTCAGTTTCAAAGTTTCAAGCTGTACATTTCACTCATTCATCTGTTCACTGATTTCCTTCCGCTTATCTGCTTCAGGGTCAGGGGCTTGATGTCTATCCCTGCTATCAGAGCATGAGAGGCAGGGTACACCCTGGACAGGTCACCAGTCTGTCACAGGGCATTTGTCTAGAAAATGTTAGCACTGCACAGCAGTATAATTTAGGAGATATGACGGGTGTGAAGCAAACATGCTATGAGTGTCATTATTTAACTGGAAAGCAATATGCTTTTCAGAGAAGTGCTTCAACAGCAAACACTAATAACAACTACAGAATGTTTGTAGCAGATGAAACGTCTGGAAAAAAATAATAATTTTAGTGCATCCATAGAGTTGGCAGCTGGCTATTGGTACGACTATTCTGTGGGTGACAATGACAATGTCAGCATCAAGTCAAATATACAGCAGAAGCACTGACAGTTTCCTGCGTTTCCTATGGAGACTGTAGAAATGAAGTAACAATAGGTGGCAAAATTATGAGCCTACACTTCACAGCTCCACAGAGAACAGCTGTACAGGCGCCCTGTCCCACAAATAAAGGCTGGTTTGCTTGGATTTTTAAGCATAGCTAATTTACCTATGAATTTGAATTGTGTGGAGCATAAATATACAACCAGATAACCACCTTGGTAAATAATATGCAAAAAAGCCTCTCTCATTGCAGAGCTCAAAATAATTAACCAACTTCAGTAACACAAGGTGAAAGTTTAACTACTACCCGCATCCAAAAAAAAAGAAAAAAAGCTATTCAATTTAAAATTACATTGCCATGGTAACTTATGCCGTAGATGTTTAGGTTCCAGATTAGAGATTAACAGACGTGAAATCACTACTGACCAATATATTCTCTACAGAACATCTACCCTAAACTAAGCTTATGTTAAAATTGTGAGTTTAGATTTAATCTTTACTTCCAAACCCTTAAACAGCACCGAGTCTGCAGTGAGAGAACCAAAACTAAAACTGTCAGGAACAGGTTATGTTCCCCATTTTTAAAACACCATTTAATGCCTAACCCTTCCAAACTACACTGAAATATTTCAATCTATGTAAGCTTAGCTATAACACTTTTTCCCTTTATGGATGAAACTTTACCTTCATTAGATTTGGAAAGCTGCCCTCTATTTTTTTTTAAGTTAGATGTTAAACAGTTACAATTGCTCAACTCTTAGTATTAACAGTAACTCAGTAAAACATCTCTACTGTAACTTCACTGACTAATAGTCAGTGAAGTCTAATATTAGCAATTACACATGGTTAAAGTCAGGAACATTAAAGCAAAGGTTTTTCTGTAAAT